CGCAGGGGCCGCCGGGGCGCCTGCTACGCCATTTTGGTCCGAATCGCCTTCTTCGCACGCGCGGGTCCCTGCATTGTGGTATAGACTAGGGCTGACCCGTGGACTACGTCCACTTGCGGGTTGAAGGGGTGCAGTTGTAAGGCGATCGGGATGAATGGCGTCATGTTCGCCTGCCACACATCGCTGAGCGAGGAGACGGAGGAGCGTCTGGACGCCCTACCTGGGGCGCTCAAGGGCTCCCTTGGGATCGGGTCGGGCTTTGTCGGTGCGTTGGGTCCGACCTTCGCGGGGCGTTCTGGGGCCGTCTGGGGGCCCTCTGAGGGGCCCCAAGATCACCAATACGCCTCCAAGATAGCTCCATAATGGCCGCCCGCCCAGAATCGGCGGGACCGATTCTGGGCCACCGCGCCGCCGACCCAGAATCCCGCCCGACGCGCCCTTGGCGGCCGCGCTCGCTTCTGGGGTCGGTCAAAGCGATTTTGGGCAACCAGAAAAGCGAAACACGGCATGGCCCCAAGAGGCCGCGGAGAGGGCTCCAGACCGACAAAAAGGGCGAGGGAGCGCCAAACAAGCATCAGAGGCCCATGGTGCGCTGGAAGCCATTTTGGGACCGTCTGTGGCCGTCTTAGGCCGTCTTTGGCCGCTGTTGGTGCTGTCGAGCGCCAAACAAGCATCAGAGGCCCATGGTGCGCTGGAAGCCATTTTGGGACCGTCTGTGGCCGTCTTAGGCCGTCTTTGGCCGCTGTTGGTGCTGTCTTCCGTGCTTCTTGGGCCGTGATCTTGGGGCCCCTGGTGGTCGTTTTGGAGCCTCTCAGCGCTTCTTTTCGGCCTCCTGGACGCCTCCTGGGCTTGGGCTGTCTCGGGTGCCTCTTGGGCCGTGCGGAGGCGGTCCGGGGCCGTCTGAGGGCTCTCCGGAGCCGTCTTGGACGTCTCTGGAACAATCTGGGCACCGTCTGGGGGTCTTCTAAAGCCGTCCTGGGCCGCTCTTGAAGCTGTCTTGGGTGCCGCGTGGGCCACCAGGGGCGCCTCAGGAGCCGTCTCAGGGCTATCTTGGGCCTCTGTATGGCCGTCTTGGACGCTATGAAGAAGGCAAGCCCAGGAACTGCCAAAATGTACGTTTTCCTGCGGGAAGGGGCGATTTTTTGTTCGGGCTCTCTTGGGGCTCGTCGTGGAGCACTTGGAGCGTTTTGGAAGCCTCTTGGGCCGCCTGCTGGCCATCCGAGGCGTTCTCGGGGCCGTCTGGGGGTTGCCTGGATCTGCCTTGGGCGTCGCCGGAGCAGTCTGGGCACCGTCTGGCGGTCGTCTTGGGCCGTCCTGAGCCGCTCTTGAGGCTGTCTTGGGTACCCCGTGGGCCGCAAGGGGCGCCTCAGGAGCCGTCCTAGGGCTATCTTGGGTTGGACGCTATGAAGAGGGCAAGCCCGGGAACTGCCAAAATGTACGTTTCAGTGTTCGGGATCTCTTGGGGCTCGTCTTGGGGCCCACTTGGAGCGTTTTGGAAGCCTCTTGGGCCGCCTGCTGGCCATCCGAGGCGTTCTCGGGGCCGTCTGGGGGTTGCCTGGATCTGCCTTGGGCGTCGCTGGAGCAGTCTGGGCACCGTCTCGCGGTCGTCTTGGGTCGTCCTGGGCCGCTCTTGAGGCTGTCTTGGGTACCCCGTGGGCCGCCAGGGGCACCTCAGGAGTCGTCCTGAGGTCGTCGTGGGCGGTCTTGGGGCCCTCATGGGGGCAACTTAGGGCATCTTGGGGGTCTCTATGGCCGTCGTGGACGCGTCGCAAACGAAAAGCACGATAATGCCCCAAATGCGCGTTTTCCGAAGGTAATGGGAAGATTTGTCTCTTGGGGCTCTCCTGGGAGGTCCTCCAGGGGCCGTCTTGGGAGCCTCCTGGCCTGCCTTGGGAGCTTCTGGGGCCGTCGAGGCGGCCTCTTGAGCGGCTCGGAGCCGTCTGTGGGCCGTCTTGGGGGCGTCTTGGGGCCCTCTTGGCCCGCCTGGAGGCTTTCCTGGGCGGCCTGGGGCGGCCTGGGGCCAGCCCGAGGGCGGTTTTGCCCCACTAGGTCCCCCGCCATTCTGGCACGCGGCTCCCCTTGCGTTATACTAAACTGGGGCTGACCCGTGGACTCCGTCCACGATATCTTTCGGAGGAACGGCTTGTCGAAAACCTATAAGCACGGCAGTGGCCGGGGCGGCGGCAGCGAGACCGCGCCTTCGTGTCCGAGCTCTAGCAGCGCTCCAGCAGTTTGGCCGTCGCGGGGCCGCCGTCATCGCCATCATCGTCGGCGTCGTTGTCGTCGCCGCCGCGAGGCTGCCGTCGTACCCGTTGTAAGCGGCGTCGTTGTCTGGTCGTCGTCGTCGTCGTCGTCGTGGGTTGCGGGTACCGGAAGGAGGGTGGCGACGTCGGTACACAGGACTGACCCGTGGATTCCGTCCACGAAATCTGCACGAACTGGCATCTGATTGTGGGGCCCGATCTCACACTCCGCGCATGCTCCTGCGTGCTGCTGCTTGCTGCCGCTTCTGTGTACTATTGGTGGTGCTTGAGGCCGCTGCTGCGTGTTCTTGCTGCTGGTGGCTGCAGGTTGTTGCTGATTGCCAGTTCCGCTTGGTGCGTGCTTCTACCCGCTGTGTGCCGCCGCTGCTGCTGTCTGCTTCGTGCCCCCGGGAGAGATCGATGCCGCCCCAGGGCGCTCGAAATTTCGCACGGTGGACTGTGCATGGGGGCTCACGGTGGACGCGCAGGGAGCCACGTCCTTTTGGGCGCCGTCTCCGCGCCCCTCTGGGATGAGACTGTGTTGGGGGCTGCGCTCCCTGGAGGCCTCTGGTGTATATTGCCTCACTTGGGCGGCAGCGGCGAAGGGCGCCCTGGAGCTGGGAGGCAATAACAAAGGGAAGTAGTTCCCATGTTGCTGTTCATTATTCGGCGCTTTTTCGCTCGCGCCCGCACCCACGGAGGAGAGCAACGCTGCCTACGCGGCGACTGATGGCGGCCACTTCCTTCTCCTTGGGAACCGTTTGGGGGCCTCCCGGGGTTCCTTTTCACACTTCTGGTGGCCTTTTGGGGCCCCCTTGGACCGTCTTGCGGCCTCCTGGGGGCCTCTTGGGGCCCTCTTGGGTGCCCATTGGGCCGTCTTGGGACTGTCTAAGGCCGTCTTGGACGCCTCCGGGGCCGGCTTGGGGCCGTCCTGGGGCCGTCTTGGGCCGTCTTTGGCGGCTCTTGGGGCTGCCTTGGGCGACTCTTGGGCGGTCGTAGGCACCGCAGGAGCGGCCCTGGGGCCGTCTTGGGCAATCCTGGGTCCGTCTTGGGCCGTCTTGGGGCTCTAATGGGGCGCTCCTGAGGCGTCCTGGGGCGATCTTGGGGGCGTGAATTGTCCTCTTGGACGCATTGAAAACGAAAAGCACGGTAATTGCGAACATGTACGTTTTCCCTAGGGGTTCGGACAATTTTTACTTGTGCGGGCTCTCTTGGGGCTCGTCTTGGAGCCCACTTGGAGCGTCTTCGGAGGCCTCTTGGGCCGTCGGCGGGTATCTTGGGCGTCTTGGAACGCTCTTGGACCTTCTCGGAGGCCCTCTTGGGCCGTCTTGGGCGGCCTGGGGGCCGTCTTGGGGCCTCCGGGAGCGTCTCGGAGCGCTCTTGGGCCATCTTGGAGGCCGTCGTGGAGCGCCTCGAGGCCGCCTGGGAGCGCGCGGAGAGACTAGGGCGAACCCGTGGACTTTTTCCACGTCATCTGGAGCCAATCTTGACATGAGATGACGGGAAGGTGGGAATCTTTCAGAAACCGTTGGAGAATCGATGATTTCGTTTGCCGCGTTCCGTCTGGACGGCCTCTTGGGCCGCGTAGGGGCCATATTGGGGGTGTTGGGCCGTCTCGGAGCTCCCTCTGAGCCCTCTTGGGCAGCTCGTGGGGCCCCGTCTGGGGGCTCCTGGTGGCTCTCTCGCGCCATCTTGGGTCTCTCTTGGGCCGCTTTGGGCTCCTCCGGGAGCCGTCTCCGTCTTGGGCCGCTCTTGGCTCGAAATCGCGAAAACCTGAAACTAAAGCGAAAACCATAGAATTAATGATTTTTGGACGCCGCGAACCGTCTGGACGGCCTCTTGGGCTGTCTTGGGGCCATGTTGGGGCTCTTGGGCTGTCTCGGAGCTCTCCGTGAGCCCACTTGGGCGGCTCTTCGAGCCCGTTCAGCGGCTCCTGGGTGCTCTCTCGGGGCTGGCTTGGGCCGTCTTGGGCTCCTCTGGGAGCCGTCTTGGGGCCCATGCCGGAGCGCTTGGGAGTCCTTGGAGCGTTCGGGGGGGCCCCAAGAGCCGTCTTTGGCCGCTCTCGGCTCGAAAGCGCGAGAACCTGCAAACCAGACAAAAAACATCAAAACATTAGCCTGGCGAAGAATCCAACCATATGCAGTTGTGCGTACCGCAGTTGTGGGTGTCGTCCTCCGTGGAGCTCCCTATGGGCCACGAAACGCCGTACTGGGTGGGGGCGACGCATGCGAACTGCGCCACCTGGGACCTTCGTTGGGGCTCCCTACAGGGGCACGAAGCGCTGTTCTGGGCGGGTGGACGCATGCGAACTGCGCCATTGGGACCTTCGGTTGAGCTCCCTCTGGGGCCGCGAAACGCTGTACTGGGCGAGGGGGGGGGCGCATGCAAACTGCGCCACTGGGGCCTTCGGTGGAGCTCCCTCTTGGGGCTACAAAGCGCTGTGCTGGGCGGGGGGGACGCATGCGAGATGCGCCACTGTGACCTTCGGTGGAGCTCTCCCTGGGGCCACGAAGCGCTGTACTGGGTGGGGGGACGTATGCGAACTGCGCCGCCTGGAACCTTCGGTGGAGCTCCCTCTGGGGCCACGAAGCGCTGTACTGGGTGGGGGGGGGGACGCATGCGTACTGTGCCACCTGGGACCTTCGAAGCGCTGTGCTGGGTGGGGGGTGGGGGGACGCATGCAAACTGCTCCACTGGGACCTTCGGTGAAGCTCCCCTCTGGGGCTACGAAACGCTGTAGTGGGTGGGGGGTACGCATGCGAACTGCGCCACTGGGACCTTCGGTGGAGCTCCGCATGGGGCCACGAAGCGCTGTACTGGGTGGGGGGACGCATGCGAACTGCGCCACTGGAGCCCTTCGGTGGAGCTCCCTCTGGGGCACGAGACGTTGTACTGGGCGGGGGGTACGCATGCGAACTGCGTCACTGGACCTTCGGTGGAGCTCCCTCTGTGGCTACGAAGCGCTGTGCTGGGTGGGGGGGACGCGTGCCAACTGCGCCAGTGGGACCTTCGGTGGAGCTCCCTATGGGGCCACGGAGCGCTGTACGGTGGCAAGGACGCATGCGAACTGCGCCGCTGGGACCTCCGGTGGAGCTCCCCCTGGGGCTAGAAGCGCTGTGCTGGGTGGTGGTGGGGGGGGGGGGGGGCGCATGCGAACTGCGCCGCTGGGACCTTCGGTGGAGCTCCCTCTGGGACCACGAAGCTGTACTGGGGGGGGGGGGACGCACACGAACTGCTCCAGTGGGACCTTCGGGGGAGCTCTTTCTGGGGCCACGAAGCGCTGTACTGGTTGAGTGGGTGGGTGGGGGTGGGCGCATGCGAACTGCGCCACTAGGACGTTTGGTGGGGCTCCCTCTGGGCCACGAAACGCTGTTTTGGGTGATGAGGTGATGATGGACGATGGGATGGTGGTAGGAGGTGGTAGGGGGTGGTAGGAGGAGGAGGAGGAGGAGGAGGAGGAGGAGGAGGAGGAGGGAGGAGGAGGAGGAGGAGGAGGAGGAGGAGGGAGGAGGAGGAGGAGGAGGAGGAGGAGGAGGAGGAGGAGGAGGAGGAGGAGGAGGAGGGGGAGGAGGAGGAGGAGGAGGAGGAGGAGGAGGAGGAGGAGAGGAGGAGAAGAGGAGGAGGAGGAGGAGGAGGAGGAGGAGGAGGAGGAGGAGGAGGAGGAGGAGGAGGAGGAGGAGGAGGAGGAGGAGGAGGAGGAGGAGGAGGAGGAGGGACGGGGACGAGAGGAGAGGAGTCGAGCGTGCTCAGGAGCGCGAGGAGGAGGGAGGAGGAGGAGGAGGAGGAGGAGGAGGAGGAGGAGGAGGAGGAGGAGGAGGAGGAGGAGGAGGAGGAGGACGAGGAGGAGGAGTCGAGCGTGCTCAGGAGCGGAGGAGGAGGAGGAGGAGGAGGAGGAGGAGGAGGAGGAGGAGGAGGAGGAGGAGGAGGAGGAGGAGGAGGAGGAGGAGGAGGAGGAGGAGGAGGAGGAGGAGGAAGAGGAGGAGGAGGAGGAGGAGGAGGAGGAGGAGGAGGAGGAGGAGTCCACGTACTCAGGGGGGTGAGTCGTGCAGCTACACTATGACTGATTAGCTTGAAAAGAGACGCTCTGGCAGCCTCCAGCCTGGGTCTGGTCGCCGCCTGGGTCTCGATATGGAAGATTCGTTGACAGAATGGAGCGCGGGTTCCGAATTGCCTGGGGCCTCGAGACCGTATGCTCCTGTTGAGCCTGGCACGCGAGCAACGCAGAGTGCCAGGCCTGTAGAGTAATGCTATACTGACCGAGTAGATGAGGCTGAGTTGCGAGCTCAGCTCTCAGTTTACGAAAGATATGGCAACTGACTGCCGTGAGCTCATGCGCACGCTCGCGGCTGATCTCGGCAAGATCGCACTCCTCTGGAGAGCCTAGACCAAGACGGACTATGGGGTCAGAAGGGAGGAACACACAACAAGGCAGAGCAAGGAGGTGAAAAAGGCGTGGGCAAACGATATAATGTGAGATAGCATCAGGGCATCGCTCGCAGCCAAATCTCCAGCTGAGGGGGATCAAACTATGAATTCTGTGGGACGTAATCCACGCTCCAGCAAGAGTTTTGAGGTGAGCCCACACACGCATGGGTGGTGACTTCTTCAGAACAAACTTAAGCGCCTCCCATCGACTTCGCAACTCCTCCTCGCTCGGGACAGAGGCGGGCGGGAGCCATGAAGAGAGGCGGCGATGGCACAGGAGATGAAACGAATCAGGGAAAAGAAGAGCGGTGAGGGAGGAAAAAAGACGAGATTGGATGCCAGGAAGGCGCCGTCGATGCCTCCCTGTATCCACCTCCACCGCTAAGGCCGCCACAGCAGCCTCACGCAGGTGCCGGGGCTCGATGATGTGCGATTGCGGGCATGGGCGCACTCGCGGTTGCCATTCTCCACTCCAGCTGCCAAGCTACTGGGCAATGCTCCCTGGAATGGTCCAGCACGGTGCAGCCCATCTACCCTTCGCCCACGCGACAAGAGTGCCTCGCTCGAGGATGGCCTCTTCGTGGCACCTAACCCACCGCTCCCACCAACCCCTCAAAGTTCCCGTGGCCATCCTCCAGCCTGCGGCGGCAGTGGCAATGAGCACTGAGTGAGGCGCTCCTGATTTCATCCACGTGCCTAGGGAAAACAATTCGGATCTCTTAAACGAGCTGGGGGGGATTCGCAACATCTTGTGCAGGGCCCACGTTTCTTTGCGCAAGATGTGGGGGGAGATAGGGAAAAATTGAGCAATGTAGCTAAGGACAGCGACACATCGCACATTATATAGCATGATGGAAGCTGCTGTTGGCGCTCTCCCAGCCCCCAACTCCCTCGCCCGCGACCACCGTTTTTGCCCAGCAGCTTCTCATTCGTCCTCTAAAGAGGCTCCTGGAGGAGGAGGAGGAGGAGGAGGAGGAGGAGGAGGAGGAGGAGGAGGAGGAGGAGGAGGAGGAGGAGGAGGAGAGAAGGAGAGGTGGGACGCGGGGCGCTGTCTCTTCAAAACGAAGACCCCACACCACAGGATGGTTGGGGAATCAATGATTTCTTCCATGGTTCTCGGAGGAGCGGCAGAGAATGTGCCGAAAACCTATATCATGGCGGCGGCCGGGGCGGTGGCAGCGAGACCGCGTTTTCGTGTCCGATCTCTTGCAGCGCTCCAGCAGCTTGGCACCAGCGCGCGGCTCGTTCGCCCCCCTCCTATTTGGGGCAATTTTGAAGTCTCTAAGGGATGTGTGTCAAAGACGAAGCTCGTCTGAGACGTCTCAGGAGCGACCGGGGAAGGGCTCGGGAGGCCCTCGGGGAAAGCCACTGGGAGCGCCGGGGAAGCTCGCAAGGTTCTCCAGGGAGGGCCCAAGAGAGCTTCAAGAGGGCGTTAAACTCAATAAGATCTCAACAGAAACCGCCAGGGGCCCGCCGAGGCCGATTTTGGACACTTGATCCGTTTCCCTTCCCGCACGCGCTTCCCCCGGCCATGTAGGAGAGATGACATTGGGCTCCAGCTTCGCCTCCCGCATCTCGCTCAGCAGCGCCAGCGCTAGCTGCCATTGCGCGCTCTTCTCGCACGCGCTGATCCCGGCGCTGATGCTGATAACGTCGGGCTCCAACTTCGCCTTCCTCATCTCGCTCAGCAGCGTAAGCGCCCGCTGCCACTGCTCGCTCTTCTCGCACGCGCTGATCCCAGCATTGTAGCTAACGAGGTTGCGCTCCAGCTTCGCCTCCAAGATCTCCCTCATCAGCACCAACGACCGCTGCCACTGCTCGCCCTTAGTGCACGCGCTGATCCCAGCATTGTAGCTGACTAGGGCGAACCCGTGGGCTTCGTCCACGATCAGCAGGTTTCCCTGGCGCGCCTCCACATTGGGCCCCCGCACAGGAAAAAGTCACCCCGAAGCCTTCGGTGACTCTTTTCCGGCCGCCTTTCCGAACTTGGAAGGCGGGCGCTTCCTCCTCTTAGTCCGCCTTCCGCTCCACTCCGCCTGGAGCGTCACAGACGGCTATGATGGGTCTGCAGTGTGCCTCTCTCCGCTTGTCTGCGCCCCCTGGCTTGAAAAATGTTGAAAATATCTGGGGCCCTGAAAAAACTCACCCGGAGGGCTCTGGTGACTTTTTTCTGGTTGCCTTTTCGAAGCCTGATGGCGGGCGCTGCCTTCTCCTTGGGAACTGTTTGGGGGCCTCTCGGCGTTTCTTTTCGGCTTCCTGGGGGCCTCTTGGGGCCCTCTTGGGCCGTCTTGCGGCCTCCTGGGGTCCTCTTGGGGCTCTCTTGGGGCCGTCTTGGGCGCCTGTGGGGCCGTCTTGGGACTATCTTGAGGCCCTCTTGGGCCATCTTTGGCCGCTCTTGGGGCTGTCTGGGCGCCACGGAAGCCGTCCTGGGGCCGTCTGGGGCCATCTTTTGAAAGCCCTTCGCTTTTGAGAGCCCCTGTGTGAAGGGGTGGTCACGTCACCGCTCGCTCTTGGGAGCTGTGCCTGGGAGAGCTCTCTACGCTGCGGCTCGCTCTTGGGAGCCTTGATGAGAAGAGCTTTGTACTTCACCGATCGCTCTTTTGATGGGCGTCTCTGGGCCTGCTTGGTGGTCCTTGCGGGGGTCTTTTTCGGGCCATTCTGAAGCTTTTTTGGGCTGCTTTGGGAGCGTTTTGGGACGTCTTGGGGCCATTTTGGGCCGTCACGGGGCGCCAGGAGGCCTTGGACCGTCTTGGAGCTCTCTTGAGGCTGCCTGAGGCAGTCTTGGGAGCCTCTTTGGGCCCCCTCGGAGCTCTCTGGGGGCCGTTTTGGGGTTCTGTGAAGCAGTTTCAGGGCTCTCTGGCGTCGTCTAGGGGCTCTTCTGGGCCGTCTTGGGGCCCTCTTAGGGGCCGCTGGTGTCTTCTTGGGGCGATTTGGGAGGCCTCTTGGCGTGTCCTGGGCCGCTGAGGAGCACACAAGGCGGGCATGCTGAAAATCCGCCCACCCTGTCGGCGTGTGGAAGACGCATCCCGGTGTCGTCGTCTTGCGTGGATCGCCGCCGTCGTCGTCGTCGTCGTCGTCGTCGTCGTCGTCGTCGTCGTCGTCGTCATCGTCGTCGCCCGAAATAATCAATGAACTCGAACACGAAACAGAAGGAAATCGTAGTCGTGGCGAAGCCCTTCCCTACCCTCCCCACCGGGGTGGGGTGGGGGGTGGGGGTGGGTGGGTGGGTGTGTGTGTGGGGTGGGGGTGGGGGGTGGGGGGTAGGGGGGTGGGGGGGCAGATACGCATCCCCCCGGGCGACCCTCTCCCTCCCTCTCCCCTCCCCCTCCCCTTCCTCCTCCTCCCTCCTCCTCCTCTCCCCCTCCTTCTCCTCCTCTGCTCCTCCCTCCACCTCCTCCACCTCCTCCTCCTCCTCCTCCTCCGCCTCCTCCTCCGCCACGTCTTCTTTTACCTCCGACGTCTTATCACGCATCCCGTCACCCTCGAGGGCCGAGGTATCCAGGGTCGGCGGCACTGGCCGTAAGGCCTTAGCAATATACGTTTTCCTGTAAGAACTTGACGATGTGTGCCTCTTTGACGTGCGCTCGGGGCCCTCTTGGGGCACCTTTGCGGCCTCTTGGGTCGTCGTGAAGCCCCCCCCCCCGGAAGGCTTCGGGCCCTCGTGAGCTGTCTCGGGACCCACTGAGGCCGTCTTGGAGCGCTCTTGGACGGTCTGGGAACCCCTCTGGAGCGCCTCTGGGACCGGCCTGAGCGACTCAGCCCCGTGGTGGCGCCGTAAAGGGGCGATTTTGTGCATTTGAGGCCCTGAGCTTCTCGCACGCGCTTCCACCGGCCATGTAGGAGAGACAGTGTGTACCCGTGCTTGTTGCCACTGGCGGCGGCCTCATGCCGACGAAGGTCGCGTCGTCCATGGTGGGGTCCTCGCCAGGGCCGCGGGCCGCGCGACCGCGCGGCCGTTTGGCGGCGGCCTCATGCCGACGAAGGTCGTGTCGTCCATGGTGAGTACGGGCCGCGCGACCGCGCGGCCGTTTGGGGCCGTCTTGGGCGCCTCTGAGGCAGTGTCGGGACCGTCTTGGGGCCGTCGTACTAGGAGGGCACGAAGAGGGCCCCCAAAGGGCTCCAAGAGGGCCCCAGGACGCCACCGGGCGCACAATAGGCCTGTTTGTGGCAGAATGCACCCGGCCCTGTCTTGGAGGGGCCGGCCCCAGGGGGCCCCAAGAGGGCGCCAAAACGCATGTACATGACATGCTTCTTGGGCTTGCGAGAGGGGCACCCAAGTGCATGCGTCATGGGGCCTTGTCGGGGCCCTCTTTGGGACCTCCTGGCCCCCTCTTGGGACCCCTCGGGGGCGCTCCCACCCTGTCCTGGCCCCCTCTTGGGGCCGCCATGGGCGCCTGATGAGCCGTCCTGGCGCAGTCTTGAGCCGTCTTGGGGCCCTCCTGGCAGCCTCCTGAAGCGACGATCTTGAAGGCCTGTGTGGCCGTCTTGGACGCTTTGAAAACGAAAAGCACGGGAACTCCCGAAATGTACGTTTTCCCTGGGGGTTGGGACGATTTTTCCTTGTTCGGGTCTCCTGGGGCTCTCTCTGGAGCCCACTTGGAGCATTTTGGGAGCCTCTTGGGCTGTCGGGGGGCTGTCTTGGGCGTCTTCGAGCGCTCGGGGTCCGTCTCGGAGGCCCTCTTGGTCCGTCTTCGTGCCTTCTTGGGGGCCTCCGGGGGCGGCTCGGAGCGCTCTTAAGCTATCTTGGAAGCGCGTCGGGGCCCCGGGGCCGCGCCGGTGGCCGCCGGAGGGGGCCAGTCCGCTGCCACTGCTCGACAGTTTGGCGAGAGGTGAACGCTGCATTATAGGAGAGACTGGGGCAGACCTGCGGCCTTCTGGCCGTGGAATCCGCCCGCCATGCTATGGACTCCGCACTAGGGCCGCTCAGGCGCGCAGTGCACGGGAGCCCACTTGGAGCGTCTTGGGAGGCCTCTTGGGCCATCGGGAGCGTATCTTGGGCGTCTTGGAGCGCTCTTGGACATTCTCGGGGGCTCTCTTGGGCTGTCTTAGGCCGTCTTGGGGCCCTCGTGAGGGCCTCCGGTGGCGTCTCGGAACGCTGTTGAGCCATCTTGGAGCGATTCGGAGCGCGCCAGGGCCTGCTGGGGCTCGCAGGGGCCGTCGGGGCGCCTGCTACGCTTTTTTTGTCCGAATCGTACTTTTCACACGTGCGGGGTCCTGCAGTGTAGTAGAGACTAGTGTGGGCCTGTGGATTAAATCCACGGCGTGCTGAACCTGGGACTCGCGCTGGAGGCTGTCTTCGGACATCCTGGGGAGGTCTGCGCCATCTCGGAGTGGTCCAGGGAGGGATCTCGTGGTGCTGGGGCCCGAAAGGAGCTCGTGGGTCTCTCCGAAAAGGGCCGTCCGTGCCGGCGGAGGTCGCACAGAGACGCAAGACGGCCAAAGGAAGCCTCGGAAAGCTCCCGTGAGAGGACGGAGAGAGCCCCCGACGGATGCTACAACGGACCCTCCTGTTGCGGCATCCGTCGGGGGCCCCCTGGAGGGCCGTACGGAGGCCGTCTGGGAGCCCGGCCCTCCCAGGCAGCTTCTGGTGCGTCTTGGGGGTCCACCTGAAACTCCAGTAGGCCGTCGGGGGCCTGTCTTGGGCTGGCTTGGAGCCCTCTTGGGTCGTCTTGTTGCGCTCGTTGAGGACTTTTGGGCCATCGTGGGGCGATCGCGAGAATGCCTGAAGCTGCGTCGGGCCCTTCTGAGCCCGTCATGGCGAGTGTGAAAACATTGGGAACGACAAAGTTTTTGCTTGGCTTCTGGTCTCCTGGGTTTGTCTTCGGAGTCCTTGTGGGCCCTCTTGGGCCGTGCCAGGGGCCCCTTGGGGCATCTTCGGGTCATGATATGGGTCTGGGGCCGTCTGGGAGTCTTGTTTGGGCCCTCCTGGGCAACTCCTGGGGCGTATCGGGGGGCAACGTAAAGCTCTGTGAGGGGCCTGTTCTGGCCCGTCTTGGGGCCCTCGTTGGTCGTCTTGGTGGGCTCGTGAGGCCTTCTGGGGTCATCTCGGTGCGATCTTAGAAGCACACGGAGCTGTGTGGGGCCGTTCTGGGCCCGTCATGGGGAGAATGTGTAAAACCTTGGAAACTGCGTGGCTTTAGCTTGTCTTTTCGCTTCGTGGGGCCCTCCTGGGTCCTCTTGGGCCGTCCCGGGGGCCTCTTAGACTATCCTAAGGCCATATTGGCGGTCTCGGGCCGTCTTGGAGCTCGCTGTGGTGCCTGTTGGGCAGCTCATGGGGCCCTCTTGGGGCTATCTTGGGGGCCGCGGGGAGCTGTATGAGGCTGTCTTGGGCTTCTCTTGGGCAACCTTCGGGCACTCTGTGGCCGTCTTGGGGCACTTGGCGGGGCCTCCTGGAGCTTCTTGGGGCGATCTGAGATGGCCCTGGAGCCGTCTGGGGCTGGTGTAGGCATCATATGGGGCCGTTCTAAGGTTGAAATGGACAGAACACGGAAAACCTTCAAAAACCTCACGAACATATATTATTTTTGGCCTCGGGGACCGTCATCGAGGTCCGGTTGGGCCGTTTTCGAAGGCATTTGGCCCGTCGTCGGGCCGTCTTGGGCTGTCATGGGCCTTTGTTCTCCTGGGACGTCCTCCCGCCATCCCGAGCGTCTCGGAGCGGTGGTGGGGCTGCCTGAGGCTGTCTTGGAGCCACCTGGGGGCTCTCTGGAGCCCTCCGAGAGCGGCGGGGCGCTGTGGGCGCTTGTGGGCATCTCGCTACCTTCTGGCCACTTTCGCACGCGCAACGACCAGAATTGCAGTACAGATGACGTCGGGCTCCAGCTTCGTCTCCCGCATCTCGCTCAGCAGCGCGAGCGCCTGCTGCCACTGCTCGCCCTTCTCGCACGCGCTTATCCCAGCATTGTGGCTGACTCGGGCTGACCCGTGGACTCCGTCCACGACGTCTTTCTGGAATGGTTCTCGGAGGAACGGCGGAGATTTTGCCGAAAACCTATGAGCACAGCGGCGGCCGGGGCGGCAGCGAGACCGCGCCTTCGTGTCCGAGCTCTTGCAGCGATCCAGCAGCTTGGCCCCGGCGCACGGCTCGTTCGCCCCCCTCCTGTAAAGGACAGTTTTGAAGTCTCTCGGAGATGTGCGTCAAAATCGAAACCCATCTGAAGCGTTTCAGGAGCGCCCAGGGAAGGGCTCGGGCGGCCATCGGGGAAAGCCGCCCAGAGCGCAAGGAAGTCTCGCAAGGATCTCAAGGGAAGGCCCAAGAGAGCTTCAAGAGGGTGTGAACCGGATGATCAGATCTTAACAGAAACCGCTATTGGGTCGGACGTGCTCCGCAACGTTGGGCAGGCCGTTTTGTTGGAATTCTGCGCAAAGCGAAGCTCTCTCGGGCGTGTCAGGAGCGCCGGGCCCCCTCTCTTGCAGGCAGTTTTGAAGCCTCTTGGTGCCCTTTGGGGGGTCGAGGGCCTCTCAGGTCCTCTCGTGGGCCTCCTCAAGACCTTTTTGGGAGCCTGTTGGGCCGTCTGGGCTCCTCTTGGGCCGTCTTGGGGCCACGTTCAGAGCTCCGTACGCCATCAGGACCCTCATCAAGCTCTCTTCTGGGCCTTCTCGGGTTTCCTCCTCCTCCTCCTCCTTCGCCTCTTGGGCTCTCGTCGGTGCCGTTTGGGCCGTCTCGGAACCGCCTTGGGCCGTCTTGGGCGCCTCTTGGGCTGTCTTGGTCCGTCTTGGGCGGCGCTTGGGGCTGTCTTGGGTGCCTTCTGGGCCGTCTTGGGGCCGTCGTGGGCGCCAATTGGGCAATGTTCGGGCCATCTTGGGCCGTTTTTTGGGCTGTCTTGGGTACCTCTTTGGCCGTCTTGGGCGCTTCTTGGGCCGTCCTGGACGCGTCGCAGACGATTTTTGCGTCTCGGGGCTGTCCTGGGGAATTCTCGAGGGCCGTCTTCGAATGCTCCTGGCCTGCCCTGTGGGCCCTTGGGGCCGTCGGAACGGCCTCTCGAGCGGCTCGGAGCGCCCCTGGTGCCGTCGGGGTGGCCTCTGGAGCGGCTCGGAGCAATCTTGGGGTCGTGGGGACGCCCTCTTGAGCGGTTCGGAGCCGTCTGTGGGCCATCGGGGCGGCCTCTGGAGCGCCTCGGAGCAGTCGTGGGGCCGTCGGGGCGCCCTCTTCAGCGGCTCGGAGCCGCAAGAGGCCACTCTGTCCAGGAGCCCTTCTCGCACGCACCGTTCCCGGTATTGTAGGAAAGATGATGTCGGGCTCCAGCTTCGCCTCCCGCATCTCGCTCAGCAGCGCCAGCGCCGGCTGCCATTGCTCGCCCTTCTCGCACGCGCTGATCCCAGCGCTGTAGCT